TCACCTATGCTCTGTTCTAAGGATCCTTTTATTCCGATTTTCAGTAAAGCGTCTAAAAGTGATTCCGGAGCCACTGAGCCCCAATGCCTCAATGGCCGAGCCTTTCCTGAACTTTCTTCCTGCTCCAACCCTGAAACTAATCTGTGTTTCCCATCTTCCATCAGAAGCCCACCTTTCAATCTTGCAATACCAAAGTTTTCACGTTGTCTCAGTTTTCTCCAGCTCAATTTGGAGGCCAAGTCTGTCGTAATCTCTACGCTTGGATTGTCTGCAATTCTTGGTACACGTAGCGTCTTGTTTTCAAAGTAATTCAGGATTGATATTGTCTTCATTGCAGCAAAATTGATCCTCTGATTGACAGCATCAGGGACCTGCTCATAATATGGAATTAGATAGATGAATATAGACAGATGCAGGATGGAAATATTTCTTCACCATAGTGGAAGAGAATACTTACCAAGACAATCTTTGGCTGCAAAACGGAAAGAAGTGTTGGGAGCTTTTGCAACCTGCAAAAGAAACAATAGCATTGAGCAATGGTAGACAAGCCTATTTCAGATTACACATTTGACCGGTGGACTACATGATAACAAGCTAAATGTGTGAGCTGCCATGATTTTTGGAAACTAATATTTTTGATATAATGAGATATTACGGGTCACCAAATAGCAATACGGCAGATGTGGAATTTAGTGAGTCAAATCTATAATATCAGTCAAGGTATGCCCTTGCACAATAAGCCATGGTAATTCCTATTTTGTGCAGACACAACTCAGATTCCTTGATCCAAGATGACAGTAAAAAACAACTACAAAGCACCAGAATGAAATGTAGTCTTAATCATACAGCCAAGCAAAACCTTACCTTATTCCAGAAAGAAATGAACATTGGAGAATTTTCATTGCTATCGGTCTAAAAGGGAGAAGTCCTAAACCTGAACTAATCCCATCCTGCAACACATATTTATCATCAGATATATTGAATTCACACTGGATCATCTGATAGAGCTGGGGAAGAGAGAAAGAGATTAAAAAACCTCAAGAACAAGCAATGATTTTGGATCTCCACGCCAACGCTGAAGAAGTTGGACAGAAGGGCCAAGTCGCAAACTCCAGTGAGGAGCAAATATGATGCATGGTTCCTGCCAACTCGTTCTGTTCGCATAACTTAAAAAATCAGTGAATGTTGTAACATACTTCTTGAAATAGAATCACCTAAATAACATAAATATTTAAGTTGCTGATTCCATGTGAGGTATTTTACTGATGTATCTGAACTAAGCAATGAGTTAAGGTGAACAGAGATGATATTTTCAATTATAGACTAGCATGACATATATTTGCAGACTATGCATTTACGCAAAATAACCCATCAAATAGTGATAACAGAGATAAAACTAACAACCCCTTCTTCTTACATTAAGTTGGGTGAATGAATGGCAGGAAACAAATGGATCTTCTTGTCTTTAATGAATTTAAGATGGCCAAATGATGGTTCTCCTGAAATTAACTGCAACATCAATCAAAATATATACTTTTTGATTCATCTTTCAAATAACATATACAATAGAACATATACTATTTGATTCATTTTTCCAATAAAAGTTTCAGTATACCTTCTCCTGTTGTTGCTCGCACAGCCACTCGGGTATGGTGTTTGTGTATGCCAATAACTCTTCTGCCACAGAAGATATTACAAAAATTGGAACCTAAGCAAAGCCAAACTAGAGTGATTTAGACTAACACGGCTAAGAATCATTTCAACTAAATCACCTTTTTTCTGTGCTTCATATCCTCAAGAAAGTAAAACTAAAGAATAAGAAGTAAGAGAAATCCAACCTTTAGAGACGAGGATTCAAGAGAATTTGACATTAGCTCTAGGAGCTGCAGAACTATACCGATTCTAGTAATCGTTATTAAGGTTGAGCCACCAGCATCAGCAGATTCTGCAGCACATGAACAAATAAACTCTAGTTTCTCCATCTCTTCTAAGCTGTCTTCAGTGTTTAGTAATGAATCCTTGTTGTCACTGCTAAAAAAGTTAAACAGTAAAGAAAGATCTCCCACTTTAAGACCCAAACAAACATCCTCTTACAAATGTAAACAAGGGTCTTATATGATAGTACCTGGTTGTTGATATATAATTATTATCTGGGTCAGGAGAAATACAACCATTCTCAGTCACTTCTGCAGATTGGAGGGATGAGAAATCTGAGTAAATCAACACATCGGTTCCTTTGAGACCATGGAAATCAAAATTTCTTGCATGATGTGAAACGAAGATGGAATCTGAGACATAACTTAGACTTCCATTAGGTCCGTTGATCAACCAATTGCAAGCCCCAATATCTAGACCTGAACTTAGAGCCTTAATGATTAAGGTCCCATTATAACATACTTCTTCTGCAAACTTTACGGCTTGAACCTTCTTCATGCAACTCTCTATATCATCTAAACTGTGGAAAAGATTGGACAAAAATCAAAGAAGCTATCAACACTTTAAAAACTTGAAGAGCTGGCAACATATTGTATGAGAAGCCAATAATAGTTACCTGTACAGACGCATCCAACTGCCCAGATCATCACCACTCTCGCCGAAGACAACTTTTTTAAGCAAGGCTGGTACTTGTTCACGATCTAAATTCTTTATCCACCCAGGGAAACTGGAGTTGTCAGGTCCATGAAAACATCTGAATTCCGCGTGCATCGAGACAAGATCTTCCATCATGAGCTGTCCAATCTTCGCTGTTGCTTCAGTCATATATATCTACATCTTAGCAATAATAACAACTCAGCACACAATGCACACCCCAAGCTAAAAAAAATCATTCAGAAAACTGAAAACTTTAGGTCCTGAAAACGTTTACCTTGGCAGAAAATCCAGGGTTTTGGGTAAGGAATGGCAATCCGAGCAATCCCATAGGGTTGGAGATGAGAACAATATCAATGAAAGAAGCATCCCACAAATGCAAGGGTTTCACAGTTTTGTACCACGGTTCTTCACACACCAAATCAGCAAAAGTTAGCTGTCTCTCCAGTTTATGCTTCTTTTGAATTGGATTCTGAGCATCCAACGACTCATCAGATGGATATTTAGAAGCTTCAGAAGCCACACAAGATATAACAGGTGAGAAGATTTTGATTGCCGAAAGGTCCAAAGGGCAATCAATCAATATCCTGAAACCACATAGATTCAGCATATGACAAGGCGGATAATGAAAGCCATCTCCTTTGCTCAGACATGTCTGCAAAAAAAAACACAAAACTTTCATATTTACCCAATCCGAGGTTTTCAATAACTCACACGACAAGTATAGACTTTCATTAACTTATAATACATAAGAGCAAGAGAAACTCACCAATTTCATGGAGACAAACGACGGTATAATCTGTCAAAATTCGAATAAACGAGGTTCAAATTCAGAGCTTTTCTAAACAACGCAACCTAAAACAAAAGCCAGAAGAATGCGTATCATAGAAGATTTTCAGTATAACATAAAAATTCTGCTTGTTTTGAGAGAGAGACTAACAGATGCGGCAAGGAGGGAAAAACGGTCTATTTCTCCACGAGAACTATCGCATCACGATAGATAGAGCCCAAAGTACGACTCCGATCTATATATCTCCGAAATAAAAGTTATATATCTATTTCTTTCGGAAACAAAAGTTCTGTAACTTAATATCTCCGAATTAATAGTTTTAGATCTATTAATCTACATTTTTGGGTTTCTTCGGTTTATTATTTACTTAACCGAATATTAAAAAACAAAACCCAATTAAACCACAGAAAACCAGATTTTCTTAATATCTCTCTCTTCTCCAAAGAATTGCACACCGTGATTAAGATCGGGCATGGCTGAGAAGGAAACCCCACCAATCGCACTTCAATTTGCTCCATTGAACAGTTCGTCTACGAAGGTTTATGGTATAGCTTCTCCTCTGTGAAACTCGATAAACTCAGAATCGATGATTCTCCGATTTCAATTACCGGTAAACACACAAAGACATCAATTTTAACATAAATTCGAAAATTATATGCATTCACATTGATTAATTTTCTGGGCAAGTTCTCATGATTCTTTATGTTAGAGAAACCAAAAAAAAGTTGAGAACTCTGGTTTTATTGGAGGAAATTAGAAGCCATTGGACGAAAGATCAAGCTAGTAGAGATACACTTCTTGGGATTTTGCCGGAGAGATCATTAGAACTCAAATCAAGAGTTTGTAGTTTCACCAAGTTGAAAATCGAAACAGAGATAGAGTCTTTGATGAAGTTCCGAGACCGATTAAGAACCCTAATCTTAGCTTCTTGAGAGATTAAGCCAACTTTTTGTTCACGAGCTCCAATTTAGTAATTCTTCCGGTGTCGTCAGGATTGATAGAGGTTAAATTGCAGGTGATTCCGGTCAAATTGCAGCAATTAGTAGAAGAAAAATTGATTCAACTGTCGGGTTTTTGTTCGTGATTGGCTATAAATCACGTAAGGCATGGAGATCATAATTTTCTGAAAAAGTCAAATGAAGAAATTTTGAGAAGAAGAAGCATTAGAATTAAGAATTCAATAAAAATCCTTGAGAAATCTGAGAGTATACGTAATGGGTTTTATGATTCTCACCATTTTAGATGAAAGATGAAGCAAAAGAGAGAGAGAAAAAAGAGAGAGAGAGAGAGCTAGAGAAAAAGGCGTGAGAGTCTGAGAGAGATGAAAGAGATAATTATTAGAGAAATCTGGTTTTTTCTGGTTTAATTGGTTTTGTTTTTTAATAATCGGTTAAGTAAATAGTAAACCGATGAAACCCAGGAATGTGGATTAATAGATCTAAAACTATTAATTCAGAGAGATTTAGATACAGAACTTTTGCTTCGGGGAGAAATAGATATATAACTTTTGTTTCGGAGATATATAGATCGGAGTCATACTTTGGGCTCTATCTATCGTGATGCGATAGTTCTCGTGGGGAAATAGACCGTTTTCCGGGCAAGGAGAGATAGAAAGTACGGAGGCTTATGCAAGGCGGCGATGGACGGAGAAGCGGCGGTTTTAATTCGAAACTGGTTTAGATTCGAATCGATTGATCCGGTTCGGTTTGGTTGGATTAGTTAATTTTATCAAAAAGTAAATTCGGGTTTGGTTGCTGAAATAGACCGGAGAAAGACGAAGAATCAGCGATTTTGTTTGCTCCTCCGATGGATTCAGCTCGAGAGGTCAGCGATGGTAGACTCACCGTTGAGGGTTTCTCTGTAGCTGCTCGAACTTTTGCCGATAGGTGGAAGATACATAACCAAGCGTTCCCTCCATGGTCCTGGATTCCTCTGATCAATCGAACTCTACTTGTTTCAAATAAGGTGAACTTTGATGAACACTAATTCTCCATAATCCAACCTTGTTCAAGATTCTGTTTCTAAAGTTCTTTTGTATTGTTGTGTTATTAGCAGGAGGAAGGTTACTTGTCGCTAGAGAAGATCATCATTCTCAGTTCACTTGATGTAGATTCACAGCTCTTAACAGTGTTGTCTTGTTATCTTCTTCTTTTCTTGTTTCTCACTATTAAGTTTGTGTGTAGGAAATTCCAGAGGATGAATCTTTAAATGTCGCAACTGATTGCTCGGAAAAAGAAGAGTCAATTGATCACACAATCTTGGTACATAACCTTTTGAGCCATTTCTCAATTTATTATCTCTGAAGCTGAATTCTGGAATCTCTGAGCTTGGTTTTTCTTGATGCCATTTTATTTTTGTTAGGTCCCAACCCTGGAAAATGAACCACACTACTATGATTTCCATATAGTTTACAGTGCTTCATACAAGGTTCCTGTGCTTTATTTTCGTGGATACTGCAGCGGTATGTCACAATATAACCTGCTTGGACCTTTGTGGTTTGTTCTTTTGTTTAGTTTGAAAATCATCTTTGTTGTCGCTTAGGTGGACAACCCCTTGCTTTGGATGTCATAAAAAAAGATCTGCCCTCATGCTCTGTTAGTCTTTTGCTGGAATCTAAGTGGACATTTATAACTCAGGAGGTATCCTCTCAAAATCAATACTACAATGTCTGTTTAAAGTATATTATATGGTTGTTTGGTATTGAATCTCTATGCAAACAATCAACCGCAGGAGCACCCATATTTAAACAGGCCATGGTTCAAGCTACATCCCTGTGGGACTGAGGAATGGATCAAGCTGCTCTCTCAAAGTAGCAGCTCTTCTGGATGTCATATGCCAGTTGAGTTGTACTTGGTCTCATGGTTCTCTGTTGTCGGGCAGGTGGTTGGTCTTAGGACCCCTCTTCAGATGCTGAATTAGGAACCATCTTCTGTTATCAAAATATATGATGTAATCAGTGGCTCCAAAGCCTCGGCAACAACTTTTTAAGGTACACATTTCTGAATATGATCTCTCTCCAAGTAGGCTTGAATTCTCATCGAGGATACAAATATGAATCATTTGCATAAATTACATTAGATGGATGAATCTTTAAAGAGCCTGATAGAAGGGTAAATTGTATCAGGTCCTGTATACTTTCATGATGGAAAAGATTTTTCTGAAGAACTAGGGACTGAAAAACTTGAGTTTCTTTGGCATATAAGTGAGATGGCTTCAATTCATGAATCTGCAAATATTGTAATTAAATCTAGCTACTATGTTCTTGAGGTATCTCAGTTGAATTCTTTTTTTCCAACAAACCATTTTGCTTACACCTCTTCGGATAATTGTAAAATAACAGCTGATTCTTAAAAAAAGGTTGACAGCTTATGTGACATTTATAAGTAAACTTTAGACTATTTCTACCTAAAGGGTATATATTATATAATGCCTCGGATTGTATAGAACCAACCAGTTTGTAGCTTAATTGAAAGAATTAAAATAAAAGTCGTATCCGAAATATATGGCAGCAGCTGCCATCGCAGATACGCCGCAAATATTTGTGACCGTTATACGTCGACCGGCAATGTCGCTCTTTGCGACAACACGTTTCTACACAAATTTGGTTGTATTGCTAATACGACCCTAATTAGCTTTGGATGCGCGATGCCTTAAATTCGTCGCAAAGCTTGCGTCGGATTTGTGACGTTTATTGCTGTCGCAAAGCCGGTTTTCTTATAGTGCGGGCGTTGTTGAGAACCTTCAGGACAAGGTTCTTTTGGAAGATAGGAGTATGGATGGGGTCAAAGAAGCTGACATAGTAACATCTCACTAAGCAAACCAAATAAGAAGTTGGTAGACTGATTAATGAAGACTTGGTCGAGGGAGTTTGTTAATTTCTGTTTTGTTAGTAAGTGGAAGACTTGGAAATTGGAAACTGCTCTGCACGTAATTGAAATAAAAAGTCTATTCAGACAGGAGCATCCTAGTGAAAGATGAGAGAAATTTGCAGCTGAGAAAATATTCAACACAGTTGTTTGATGGATTGACCTCAGTATGTGCCGTCTTATATGGGATACAAAGACTCCATAAAAGTCAACCCTTAGACCAATTTTGTCCCATGGAATCTTATAATTACTAGTACCTGAAGAGTAAATTAGTTTAAAAATATTTGGAATCTTGAACTAAATTAGATATATACTGTATACATATAGCTTATAATACAAATAGTGGCCAGCAAACGAAAGCTTTACTAGGAGAATTCTATGATTCGTAACACTGGTTATTTTCTAACTGTTTTCTTCCTCGCCTTCATTTCATTTGCAGTAACATGCAGCGGAACTAATAAAAACAAAGACGTAGATAGACTTTCATCAGTGCACGAAGATGTTCGGATTGGTTTGGTGGTGGACATGGGTTCCATGGAAGGCAAGTTTGTGAAAAGTTCGATTTCCATGGCGCTTTCTGATTTCTATAATGTCAACAATGGCTACAGAACAAGAGTCTCTGTCTTATCCAGAGACTCTCATGGTGACCCTCTCCAAGCTCTCGCTGCAGGTACGTCTTAGATTATTTTCTTCAGAACAATAAGCTCATAGTTTCAGTGAATCACTGAAGATAGACAACTCGCAGCAATAATTAAAAATGTTAAGACCATGATTTGAATCTTGTCACTGCATTTTCAATCAGATTTTCGTTGACCTGGTGAAATTTTCACTTTCATTTTGCCTGATTGTTTGGAGATGTAATTGTTAAAACAGCCATGGACCTCCTGCAAACTGAACAAGTGGAAGCACTTGTTGGTGGACAATCGTTGTTTGAAGCAAAAATTTTGGCAGAGCTTGGGGAGAAAACTAAAGTTCCAGTATTTTCTTCTTTCCAAGTTCCTAGCTCGTTGAGCTTGACCAAATATAATTACTTTATTCAAGCTACGCATGATACATCCTCTGAGGCAAAGGGAATCGCAGCTCTATTCAGCAATTTTGATTGGAGAACCGCTGTTCTTATCTACGAGGATTATGATGACTGGAGAGAGAGTATACAACCTTTGGTTGGACATTTCCAACAGAACGCCATTCACATTGAGTACAAGGAGGAATTTTCGGTCTCATCTAATGAGGAATGTATCATGAAACAGCTAAGAAAGTTAAAGGCCTCTGGGATAAGGATTTTTGTTGCGCACATTTCTGAACAAATTGCAAATCGTCTCTTTCCATGTGCTCGGAGGTTAGGAATGATGGAGGAAGGACATGTTTGGATCCTCACAGCGAGAAGCATGAATAATTTTCAAGACACAAACTATTTAGCAAAGGAGGCAATGGAAGGTGTGATTGGTTTCAAGTCTTATATTCCATTGACTGAGGAGCTTCACAACTTTACTTTGAGATGGAAGAGATCTTTGCGACTCGAAGAAGTAGTTACAGGGATGAGCGTTTGTAGCACATGGGCTCACGATATAGCTTGGAGTCTTGCAAGAGCAGCAGAAGGTGCAAAGTTACCAGGTTTGCCAGTATATAACCTGCTTGAGGCAATTACAGAGGGTGCTAAGCATAAAGGTTTGAGTGGTGACATCAAATTCATCGATAAGAAGTTTATCTCAGACAAGTTTGAGATTGTGAATATGATAGGGAGAGGTGAGAGAAGTGTAGGACTTTGGAATTCTGGTAGTTTCATCAGCAATAGAAGAAGACGTTTGTCTTCTACCAATGCACTTGAGACAATCATCTGGCCTGGAGGGTCTACAAGAATTCCAAAAATCCGTTCGTTGAAAGAGAAGAGGCATGGTGAAAAGAAGAAGCTGAGAGTTTTAGTACCAGCTGGCAACATAATTCCGCAAATACTGGAAGTGAAAACAGATTTTAAAACTGGAGTCACGGCTGCTACAGGTTACTGTATTGACGTTTTTGAGACATCAATCCTACCTTTCAATTATGAAGTGGAGTACATACCTTGGCCTGGTGCAATTAACTACAACAACTACAACGATCTTGTGTACACACTGTATAGCCAGGTAATATATATATACACTGTTGTGGCTTATCGCGGTCTACCGTTAGTTATATTACTCTTTAAGTTTGGGGAATTATGAGCTTCAACTCAAAACTAATTGGTAATTAGTGGAGAAGCCAATATTCATCATTATATACTACTTTAGATAGAACTCCACTTTCGATGTGAAACACTATAACATTAATTATTTGTTTTGTTTAATGCTTCTTTCACAGAAAGACAAGTACGATGCAGCTGTTGGGGATATCACGATTACTGATAACAGATCTTTATATGTCGATTTTACGTTACCTTTCACTGATATGGGTCTCGCAGTTGTGACTGCCAAAGACAAAAGCATGTGGATTATCTTTAAGCCTTTGACACTTAGTCTTTGGCTAACAATCGCAACTTTCTTTATCTTGACGGGGGCTATAGTTTGGTTGATAGAGCGGCATGACAACGCTGACTTCCAAGGCTCTTGTTTCCAACAGATTGGAACATTGCTATGTTTTGGGTTCTCGACCCTTGTCTTTGCCCATCGTAAGTACGAGAAGATCGAATTAGCCTTCTTGATTTTGTCTATTATAAGAACTCTCTGACTTTTCCTTGCTTTGATATGGTTGATATATAGGGGAGAGGCTACAACATAATATGTCAAGATTTGTAGTTATTGTTTGGATATTTGCAGTGCTTATATTGACTTCAAATTACACTGCAACGTTGACATCAGTGATGACGGTTCAACAGATACGAGGGTTGAAATCAAACGAAAACATTGGCTTCTTTTCTGCCTCTATAGCAGCAAATGTGGTTAATGAGAATCCTACGTTCCAAGGACCTAGATACAAGGGATTAAAGACAGCTGACGATTTTACAAATGCTTTAAGGAATGGAACTATCTCGTTCATCGTCGATGAAGTTCCATATGTAAAGCTCTTTGTTGCAAAACACCCTTCAGAATTCGAAATTGTCAAAACCGAAAGCGTCACCAACGGCTTTGGATTTGTAAAGCTTCTCCCCCAAAACTTTCATCTTTTATTACATTATTGGTATGCACACTAATTTTAATTGATACATCTTTCTCTCAGGCTTTCCAGAAAGGTTCTCCTTTGGTTCAGAAGGTGACAAGAGAAATCGCAAAGCTAAGAAGAACAGAGAAGCTAAAAGCCATAGAGAATTGGTGGTTCCAGAGACAAACGACGTCAACCACAAGCGAGGATACGTTCCATCCTCTCACAGTTTACGCGGTTTGTTTATGATCACAGGAGTTTCTTTTGCGTTTGCTCTCATCGTCTATCTAATCGTCTATCTAATCCCCTGTAACCGAGACCAAAGGCAAGTTTTGCTTAAACATTTTCACCGTTATGTTAGCAATTCGTCCTTCACCCACCACACCAAACAGGCAAAATGAGAATGCAGTCATCTGAAGCTTGACATCTTCGTATCAACCTCGGAAAGGCAATTCTCATATTTCTACGGCTTCTTCTTTTGTATATGTATCAAATCCATCCATAAATGATTATTGATAGAGGTGTCAAGCGGGCCGATAGCCCGCGGGCTTTGTCCAAGTAGCCTACAACGGGGCGGGCTTGGACATCATTTTTCATGCCCATAAAATAGCGGGCCTCGCAGACAAGCCCAGGCGGATTGCGGGTTTTTGCGGGTTTTATCCGCGGATTTGCGGGCCGGCCCGCGGACTACAAATATTTAATAAAAATAATTAATTAATATAAATAAATAAATATTTTTACATAATTCTAAAAATATATATGTGAAATATATGAACTTATAACGAAATTTAATGTATAAAATTATAAGATTTATAAAAAAATTAATTCTAAAAGTATTTTTATTGAAAAATTGTTAATTTTAAATTTTAAAAATTAATTTTATTTTTTTAATTATTTTTAAAATATTTAAAACTAAGCTCGCGGGCCGGTCCGTTAACCCGTTGGGCTTAGCGTGGCGGGTCTGGATATATTATTTTTGCCCGCAGTCCTAGCGGGCCGGCCCGCCGCGGTCTCATAAATTTAAATGCCCATCGCGGGCTGGCCCAGATGGACGCGGGCCGGCCCGTTTGACACCTCTAATTATTGATCTTTAACCTTCGAATTTGGCAGTTTAAGGGAGTGTATCCAAAATGATTCGTCTTTGATGAACATATATAAAGTTCATCATTAAATTTTTTAAAATATTTTTAAGATATAATGTTGTTATTTAGTGTTTTGAAAAGTGCATTAAATTATTAATGAAGTGTTGTTAATAAATCATACTATAAAAAACTTTAAAATTCACCCAAAATCCATTAAAATTTGATTGCATACAAAAGTCTAAAAGGTCATTTCCTTGAAAAAAGAGAAGAAAAATCGGAAAAAAGTCAACAACTTAATTTCAGTAGAATCCGACGTGGAAAGAAAACGCCTCAAGGAAGCTGGTTTGTACAAGGATAGGGAGAGAGAGAGAATTTCCGACAAGCTCTCTTTTTAAGACAATCAATCTCTTTCTTCAAACTAAGCCCCGACCAAAAGCTAACTCATTGCTTAATTAGATTCCCTCATGGAAGAGTAACCTAAACCCTTTCTCTCTCTCTCTCCCTAAAAGCAATCTGCCTCTTTTTTTCCCTTTTTCCCTTTCCGAGCAGATCTGAGCCGAAGGTTAACTACATGACCGGCGTTGAGAACGGCGTGAGAATGACGTCACCAGAGACGTCTTCAACATCCTCCCTCGCCACCACAAGTGTCCACGTAAGTGCTCTCGACGGACTCGTGAACGTGAACTCTCTCTTCACCATCGCCGTCTTCGTAGGTCTTTCGTTAGCGACTCCAGGACAACACAGCCTCGAACAACGATCCAGCTGCGATGCAAGTGCTGACGTGGCCAAGAAGCTACTGGTCTTCGAAGTCGTCTCCTTCAGCTTCTTCCTCTTCTCCTCTCTCGTAGCTCAGGGTCTTAAGCTTGCCTTAAACCTTCTTAATAGCAAAGACGTCAACGAGATTTTCAGAGCTCACATCAATATCAAGGTTTTGAGATGGGGAATGATGGCTTCTGCTGTCGGATCTGTCATGGGCTGTCTCTTCTTGATGCTCTCTATGGTTAATGTGATTCAGATCCGTCTTGGTTTGCTCTCTTGCGGCAGCAAATCGGCTGCTCAAGCGGTTGCAACGCTCGTCACTCTGGTTTCCTCTGCTCTGCTGATTTACATCTCTACCGCCATTTACGCTTTCTGGCATTGATACTGCTGAATCAACTCCTGTCAAAATTGGATAATGATGTGAAATGTTCCCAAGTCCATGGCTTTATTTTGATTAGCCAATGTGTAATTTCATCATCAATGCCTTTCAATCTTGTTTTCTTCTTTGTTTGTTTCGGAGAATGAAGAATCAATCACAAGAGAAAAAAACATTGGATTAAGAAAATTTGATGTTAAGCTTTTATGAACAGAAATGAAGCATTATGTTTGCTGTTTATATTCAGCTAAGGGGTTTAGTGAAAGTATTGGACTCAATTTGTCTAACACTTTGGATAACATTATTGATGTTAACGGAGAGATGGTTGGAATGTTCTTCCATCTCCTTGAGGACCATATCAAGCTGCTGTTGCAAAGCAGTACAACGCCTTCTCTCTCGGCTCAGCTCTGCACTCAGCTCCCGAATCTTCGCGTCTTTCTCGTCCTGAAAAGTAATTTTGTATAAGATTTCAAGATCAATTTTTAAGTTCAGAGGAAAACGGACCGAGCATTATATAAGACAAGAGCACCAAATTAGTTAAAGTATTTCCTCTGTTTTTTGTTTGATTATCACTGTTTTACCCCAAGGAAAACTGGGTAAACGTACCGGTGTTTGAGGGAGCGGAGGATTCCGGCGAACATTAGGCGAGAGAGGCAAGAGAGGATGATTATGTTCTTTCTCTAATTTAGTGACAACCCATTTTCCGGATTTCTCTCTTTTCACCACAATCAGAGCTTTACACCCTTCTCTTGTTATAGCCCGAGGTTTCCTGCTCTCACTTCTCCGGGGTCTAGATCTACGGAATCCTTCTTTATTACACACCAGTCGGCGCCACACCACAGTCCCATCTCGCATCGACCTCCTGAAAGCATCCACTCGCATAACGAAACCCATGCATATGGCGTAATTGTCATAGAAAGACTTTGCAGCCTCTTCTGATTCAAACTTCATACCAATGAATGGCTCCACCATTGGAAAAGATTCAACTGTCTTCATTCCATCTGAATTCTCCATCATCTCTACATCTTCTTCGGGTAAAGAGTTCCCTTCCACTGTCGCAACACAACACATAAACATCTCAATTCAAGACAAAAGATGCAAAGCTATGAAACAGCTATTTCTTAGTCTTGTTCACCAAACCAGACACTCTCAACCAAATGCCCAACCAAACCCTAGAAAATCCTTATAAACCCACCCCTCTCTCTAACCAACTCTTAGCAGTTCTAATCTGCTACATTCAGCCCTACGCTAGATATAGTGGACCAAAGAGTTGATGAACTTCTTCCAAAGCTTATCAAATACACAATGGCTTGAAGAGAAGCAGGTCCTCAAGAAGTGACTAATGGAAACAGAAACCCTAAATTATGCGTTTATCAAATATAAACCCTAATGAACTGAGATAGGGAGTAGCAATTTCATCGATATTACTCAAATTCTGAACTTCACCAAAATGGAATCATAAAATAAAAATAGCAAATCGAGCATATAGAAACACGAAATTGGGAATAATTTGATATACAGAAGCAACGAAGACAAAAGGGAGCGAAAACAACGACATCTTCGAAACAGATAGACGAGAACTTGAATAAATTATAGAGTAGTAGAAAAGGGATTCAGTTGAAGTACTCAATTTGTATGGAAGATTAGAAAACTCCAAATTGTGTTTCTTCGAGAGAGAGAGAGGAAGTGATGATGATCTTTGAAGCTCAAGTTAGTAACTGGGAAGCGGTGAACAAGACGACAAGACCTAACCAAGATCTGGTCATAATTTAATTCTAGTCTCGCCCGTTGGATTACGAATAGTGAGAAACGGCACGTAGTTTATGACTTGACGTCACTTTAAGCCTTAAACATCATGTAGTTTACAGTTTTGTTCCTTCCCTTTTTTTTTACTTTTTACCTAGAGTTTCCCTTTTTACTTTGACCGAATAAATTAATTGACTAAAATGTTCCATTAAACACTTTTTTCCTTTGTCCAAAAAAAAAAAAAAAAACACTTTTTTCCTAATACTTTGACCTAAATGTTCACTTTAAGACATATATTCGATTGTTTGTGTGTTTAATCTTTGTAATTTTCAATGGCATGAGCTTATAAGCTAGATAGTGATAACTTTTAAGTGTACCACACCCAAATGTTAAAAATAATAAAAGAATCCTCAACAATTTGAAATCCTCAACATGGTTATGTTTCAAAATCCCCAAAAGCAAATTCATCAACAACATTTGTGTAGGAGCTAGCATTCAAAACAAAGCTCAACAAACTTTTGTTGAGCTTTTTCTTTTGCAAATACATTAATCGCTTTCGTGGTTTTGCCCTAATAATCATTCCGAAGGGAAAAAACCAATGATTTTGGGTCTCAAACCCGAACCCGAAAAATGAGTTTTCTTTTTTACAAGTTTGATCCTAAGGCGGCAAATCCACCACCTTTCATCATTTGTTTAAACTCCTTGAAATTCACCATGCCATCTCCATCAACGTCGACTTTGCTTATCATCCTCTTGCAATCCTCTAGGGTTCTTCCTTGCTTGAGCCCCAAGGAAGCTAACACAGATCTTAGCTCTTCCACCGTGATGAACCCGTCCCGGTTCTGATCAAACACGTTGAAAGCCTCTCTCATGTCTTCCTCCTCGTCTCTTTCCTCCATAATCGTCTGGTACAACCCTCCAAACTCTTCGATGTCTACGTAGCCATCACCGTTGAGATCAATCTTCTCGATCATCTGCACCAAGTCTTTGTCTGGAATGTAGATTCCTAGATTCTCCAATGAATCATTCAGCTCTTGCTTCGTGATTTTGCCGTCCCCGTTCCTGTCGAACATTTGGAATATCCGGGCAAGCTCAGCTTGATCCATCTTGATTAATGGGAGTTTTATAATTTTGAGCTTCGAACAGAGAATGAATGAGAACAAAAACTAGAATATGGGTTTATAGAGAAGAAGAAATTAGGACAGGAGAAGAGAAGAAGGACTGCTTCTTAAAGGAAAAGGAGTGGTTACCATTTTAGAAAACTCATTACAACTGTGATCGTGGTCTGCACCAGTTTTCTGTTGAACTGGTCTTAAAATAGGTTTATGTCCTTCAAGAATACACAAAAACCAAAGTCTATCAATAGAGATACACACGGAATGTACATATTTATCTCATATTTGATCATCTTCAAACAGTTTTCCGCTAGGATAGTTATTTCAGGTTAAATCTTTTATGACTCACAATTTGTGGTTAGGATAGTTATAGACAAACGCAATTGAAATTCTTATCAGTTCGTAAATGCTTTTTAAAACTAATCCAAATTTATTCTATCTACATAAGATGTTATTTATTCCAAGTGAGATTGTTCTATTCACTTCTTTTTTTTGTCGATTTGAACATCATATCACGATGTTTTGAAAATAGAAGAGACAAGTTGAACAATAATAAAATTTAAATAAAAGAGATGGCGTTTTATAATAGTTAAGGTCCTAATCACTTCAACAGATTGATGGCTGTTAACAGATTAAATTTTTTTTTTTTTTTTTTTTGAATATCTGGAAGTTCAAGCCCGAAGGCTCTACATCTCCCAGATGCGGAACTCACACCAAATTGAATTAATTTCCGTTGGAGAAGAGATCCCTCCTAACGGACGTCGAACCTAATACCTCTATCTGGAAGATTTACCACTGGACCAACACAACGTTGGTAAAATTTTATGTTGTATAGCATGACCTTATAAGCCTAAAAAAGTAAACCTTATAAGCCTAAGAGTAATGATGTCAACTTTTTTAGTAGATATTAGCATCCGCTTTCTCAGTTTGCTTCGGTTTCGGATTGTGGAAAAAGCGAGTACGAATTAGAAAATTAATTGGAAGGTTTATGGACGTATAAGCTGCGTTTAGAACACCTCTAGGAAAATAACATCGAACCAGTATATCCTCAATGTTTGTTTTCATTGAATTACACTTCCACACAAAACCTGAACAAGACTCGATCCTAAAAGGAGTTTGCAAGGCTCGAATCAAATGATTCATATCTACTAAACCATAAGTATAAAGATGCCATATTCATTCTACCTTATTCCCTTTCCGTACAAGCAGAATCTGTGATTACAATGCTCAGAGTCCATATAATGTTATATCAGCCTGCCTCACCTAAGATGCAGTAGTTATGAGAGTGAAAGATCAAAACTCCACTAATTCTTCTATCTTAAACGCCTCCTTCGACAATTAGACCCGAGAATATAAAGGATGGCCTTTTAAATCGTAAGCATACTGAAGCCGAGAAGATTACTATATGGTCTGTAAAAAGAATCTCATTCCTGTTCTAAGAAGTCGCATCATCCTATATACTCTCTTTCTCTATGCCTAAAGCTCTTGGCAAATTGAGCTCGAGAAACCAACAGATATCAACAGCAAGTAACCACAATTCGATACAATGTGTTCATTAACCTCCTTGCATTTTCCAAATAGCTTGTACCAATCTCAACTCCTCATACGTTTATGCTAGACTCTAAAATAGTGAAGAAGCAAAGAGCAAGTTCACCTAAGAAAACAACCATCTAATGAAAATGAAATCAAGAAAGCAACATTCACCCATACTTGAAGCAGGGAAATGGTTTAAACAAGCAAAGTTCTTTACCACATTACAAAAATTTAAAGTAAGGAAACGAAATTACAGATTCAAATGGAGTTATCTGCAGAGTACCGAAATTTCCAAAGCGAATTTTATTAGCCAATTTGAGAACGAGCCCAACATTTATGAGATCCTCACGAAAAAAAAAAACTTATGGAATATCCCAAGGCTTAGCTTCAGGGACAGCGACGACCATACCTTGAAGCTCCTGCGTTAACACAACTTGGCAACCAAGACGCGAGTGTTTGTTCAGGATACGGGATCTAGAGCTACGCTTCAGCACATACTCCTCGTCGTAGGTGCGCGGCGGGAGCTTCTCGAGCCATTCCTCTGCGATCTGAACCTCGCACTCCGCTGAGCAAGCCTCGATGTCATCCAATCTATGAGATGCTGGATCGATCAGACCAGTGTGAGTGAGCGCACGCAGAAGAGTCTGGCCGGAAAGTCCAATGATGTCCTGCTTGTATCCATCGGGATCGATCGCAGAAAGCTTGACGATTCGGTCGGAGACTTTCTTAGATCCCAGCGACGGAGAAGGAGCAGATGTGGCGGAGGTGCGAACGATTAGGGATCTGGTGAATGGAGAGAGACGGTGGATTTGAGAGGAGAGTTTCTGGAGAGTCGTCGCCATCGTCGTTCCCCAATTTTTGGTCGGAGATTTTTTTTGTGTTTATGGTGGAACCGGAAAGTGAAGTGAGGGTGAAACGCTAATTTGAAGCGGGCTTCTTTATAAGCCCAAACATAGTTACAGGCCCAATAACACGAGGGAAAGAGATTTCTAACTGAACCGTTCGATTGAACTGGTTCAACATTTTGTTTGGTCTAGTTTTGGGTTAAGAAAAACATTGCTTCTATGTGTTTATGAGGCATTTAAGACAGAAAAAAATCTATTAACATTCGAATAGCCGCAACTCCGGCCAGATCCACTCTGTTCCCATGTGATACGGTCCACCTACTTTTTTTCCAATAGCGCGTTAGCAATTTAGGAAGTTAGAAACAAGGCTTAACGAAAGTAGCCACATTTAACTAAATATGGGCATTGGTGGACACACAACCGACGTGGCTCACATTCATTGGTTGGTTCCATCTATGGAATGAGAAACACAAGATTACTGCTCCTTTCCAAATTCCGCCTTCAATAATTTGATAAAATTTTGATCCACTCTGTTTCAAGCTGTCACCAGAATGTCGTCTTCTTCTTCTTCTTCTTCCCTTAAACCCATTGATTCAATTTCCTAATAAACGAGCAGAGAGATCTCGCGAAATCACCAACCGTGAATTCGGGAAGAATAAGGCGATGTTTCGTATTGTTCAAATCGCGTTTCTTTGTCTCGTTCTCGTCGCCGGGATCTCGATCTCCTCGGCGATATCAGAGACCGAGTCTATATACGAGATCCTCACGGCTAACGGATTGCCGTCGGGGATATTCCCGAAAGGCGTCAGAGAATTCAACTTCGACGTCGAAACGGGACGGTTCTCGGTTTATTTGAATCAGTCATGCGAGGCTAAATACGAGACTGAGCTACATTACGACGCCAATATTACGGGGACCATAGGTTCTTCTCAAATCTCGGATTTGTCGGGAATCTCGGCGCAAGAGCTGTTCTTGTGGTTTCCGGTTAAAGGAATCCGAGTCGACGTGCCGAGTTCTGGTCTTATATACTTCGACGTTGGTGTTGTTCGAAAGCAGTACTCTTTGTCTTTGTTCGAGACACCGAGAGATTGCGTTCCGGTTCGTGAGATTCACAAGGTATGCGGAATGAGTTTTTTTCAATTGAATCTTATGAATTTGTAGAACTGAGTATCTTTGAAGTTCTTGAAATTTATTGAAGGATACTAATGTGCTATATAGTTTGAATAGAGAAAGATAAATTATCTTACATATAGAGATAATTCAAATGTGCTGGATTTTGTGGTTTTTCAATGTTGAGCTTTTGAATATTTTGAAGTTTCAGGCTTGCCACTAAGAATTCAAATGAGAATCCTTTTTAAAAGTTTGTTAGCTTATCTCATTCATTCGTCATCATCTGAAACTTTTGAGATTCCTTTCAAGGGTCATTTTTTCTCCATTCTTGACTTGGTTGCGATTTTTGATTGGTCAAGAACTGTTGGACATGTGCATTAAGAGTATCTTTAGAACTATGAAGGATGGTTCCTTTATAGGGTCGTTTTTTTCTCCTTGAATTGGTCTGAGATTTTTCTATCGGTGAACAACTGTTAGACTTGTGAAATTGGGAATATCTTTAGAACTAGGTAAGAGGGTTTTGAAAGTGTTGCAGTGATCAGATTCACTCGTATAATGGAAAATAAGCTAATGTGTCCTCAATGGGTCTTCTTGCAGGTTCAGTTGGCATTGTATCGAGTAGATCAAAATCTTGGGAGAAACATCATTTAGCAAGAGTTTAAAGAATGTTGTTATACCATACCAGAAAGAAAAGAAGATAGATGTTCTCATCAATTCTTGAAGATACTTCAACTGTTTTTGTCTCAAATCTTAGGCATGATTCAAAATCAAATTGCTTCATTCTTTCCCTCCCCATTCCAGTTTTGTTTCTGTATTTCGTTCTCAGATTAGGCCGGGGACTGAACCGAGGAGAGAATCTGTGGTTTTGAAAAGATGCTAAAGGGATGGCCCAGATTTTGTTGAAGTGATGATAACTGTGAGGTGATGAATGTTTTGTGTTGTATTCTTGTGTCATGTCTAAAACAGATATAATAAATCCTATATTTTGCCAAATCAGTGTTATAGAAATTTGTCAATTTGCAATCATTTCCCTTTGGCCGAATATCTGGCTGCTTTATTTTTGGTAAATGAATCTAAATTTTACAGTCAAATCAACAGTGACAATTATAGGATTTCGTCGCCATTCTAAAGACCTGCCCTGACCCTGAAGTGGAAGTCTGTCTCCAGTTGGCTTCGGAAGTCACTGTCCTATGAAGATTCAGTGGATCAGTGAAACAGTAATGCCAAAATTAGTCCAAATAGGAGACTTGGAAACTTGTCTAGTGCCTCATTATATTAAGAGGGATCTTTACGTTTAAGATTGTGAGATATTTATTTTATATTTTGGTCTATAGTTTAAGATTGTAACAAAACCCACTTTCAAACACACCTTACATGGTTTCGAACCTTGCTACTGAATATAACAAGGAGGAACCAAAGCCACCACCAGACCATTAACTCAGCTTGGGTGAATCATAAAGTTTAAGATGGTGTAGACCCATGAGTTGGATTATGTTAAGATACAAACGAGACGATATATATGATCTATATTTTAAAAAATTAATAAATATGGATCGGATCCAGATATTCAAACTTTCAAATCTAACGAATTGCATACAAAATGTGACCCTACAAGCAATAAGACCCAAGTACCACGTTCTCCATCTAATCAAACTCATGCAATTATTTCTCGTTTGTTCGCCTACTCTAGTTATAATCACAATTAAAAACATTGTCAAAAACCTGAAAAAGATATTTGTAATGAAAAGAATCTCAGGTTCTTACACAGTGATAGTACTTGCGGTTTTTGGTCGAGTGGGACAGCCATGTGGTCGTACATTTTTGTCGGCTTTGGTTCAACTTGTGCCGTGTAGGCTCTCATCTTATATACATACGGAAAAACGGCCATTTTCAACCCCAACTATTTGGGGGCGGGTTTTTCCAACCCAAACTAAGAACCTCCCTTCAATTTCTATCCAAACTCAAACCTAACCAAAATCAAAACCTAAAA